TGTTCAAAAACATACAAGTTTCAATAATACGAATTCACAATTCATTTTTTTTAAACATATTTATATGTGGTTTCCTATATAATGTTACATCTTATGGTCTAATAAGCCTTTATGAGAATATTGGTGAATATATCATCACGAAGAATGAGAAAAATATAGTTTGAGTCACCTCAGAGCTAACATACTAAAATATGAGACAAGTAAAAATAGTTGTGTTGTTATTATTATAACAGAAGTCCCGTGTAAATTCTCATAATGTTCTTAGTTTGTGTATATTGTAACCCTGATGTTCCTTTTTAAGAAAATAAATCTTTACTAATTCAGCGATCAAGTTGTAGGCAATTTAATGAGTCAGTTCGTAATCCACTGGTAGAAAAATGGTATACGTATAGTCTCATTATCCTGCCAACAATTTGCTTCCTGAGAATTTCTTCACTATCATTTTATGATTCATCTATATAAGTATAATGTACTTATTTGTGATGACAATGGTGAAAATACAACTTCCTGTATATACATTTGCTCTTTTTCTAATAGAAGACAAAATTCAATGTTACTTTCTATTAGTGGCATAAATAGCAGTACAAGAACATCAGTTGTACCTTAATCGATCCTTTCTGTGCATAGAATTTATTGAACTGAAATCATCTGAAATCTGTGGAAATAATATACTTAAATATTGAATTTATATTTAAGCGAAATCTCGTTTTCGTTGCATATTAGTATTTTATATAATCACGCTTAGGAGAAACTGTAAGTGACGAGAATTAATGAATAGTTTGTAGTACTAATCTGACTTATAACGATTTAGTAAGAAATATATGAATATACTCAAAGTACACTTAAAAATGTTATTATATAATAGTAAATTCTATAAAGATAAGAGTTTCCAAGTATAAAGTGGTAAGTTGCATAAGAAAATAATGGATCCACAGATGTATATAATATAAATTTTAAATCTGTGTACCTCGGGTTGGTGACTATGTTATAGGCTGTTATATAAATTTTACAGAAAATAAATAGAATTTCTAGAACTTAATTAAATGTTGCACAAGTAAAAAAATATTTAAATATGCCATTTTAGAATTTGAATTTTTTATACCTAGCTGTTGAAAAGATATGAATAAACTTTAAACTTTATCAATATTATTTTTACAGTATACGCATTATAACATTTATAACACATTATTGTAATCTGAATAGAAATATAAATTGTATAACTTCCAAATAAAATGAAATATACTTGAATATCAAAGTATCTTTTTTATACAATTCTACTTACAATGTTTTAATACTTTTTAAAAATGTAGTATGTTTTAGTAGACGTACAAACTATGTATTTGTTTTGCAAAGAAAAGTACACACAAAGTCTTTAAAGTGCATATAAATTTTTTAAATCTTCATTTACAAATCGGATAATAAAATTTTGTATTTTCAGTGAAAAAAAGAAAAGAAAGATATTGAAATCGGAATTGAAACATTTCAACTTATTCATTTCATGAATAAATAATGATTTTGCATCACTAGTTGCCACACATATACTTACAAGCCTATAGAGTTTTTTTTAATGATACAGTATTACTACCTGGAGTAACTTATAAGAGTTAGGAAAGCTAACCCTGTGCTATAGACAGATTTTTAAATGTTTGTCCATTCCAACCAATCGAGATACAGTAATGTTGTAATAACTGAGTTAAAAGTTCTTGTTCATCCAACATTTCTATATGCTCCATTCGACTACGGTCAGATTGAGGCAGTGAATCATAGACCTCTACCATGGTCCATGCATTAGAGCCTTCCCAATTATTTATCGTAAATCTGAAAAACAATTACATTAAATTACTTTTCTTGTCAAGTAAATTGTTCCTAAATTACTAAATATAAAAAAAGTAGACGTATACCGTCTTTGCTGAGTTTCCAAAGACTTGCAGTCTTCTACACCTGCTAATAAACATCCGCGACTACGTAAATTAGACAACATAACTTTACCGAACGTATCTTTCATGTTCACTTGCTCATAATTAACAAAAATACTATTTGGAAATTTGCCAGCAAGCCATTTTAATAATGCAGAAGCTGCACTAGTGTCTACATACACTAGGACACACTCTGCAAGGAACATGGTTGGTAAATTAAAATTAACTTCTGCTTGTGTTAATTTATGAGTAAGTTCGGATATCTGCCGCAGATCTGTTCCCATGACGTGATAATTGGCGGCATGTAGATCTATTGTTGAAAACCTAATTTCTCCATCTGTAAAAAAAATGTAATTTAATGGTACAAGCTAATTGTTTACATAAGGTGAATTCAATAATTAAGATTAGAAACTCAACCTTCTGTATTCAACATGTCTATCAGCCGTTTGTGCTTTTTGATGTGATAGCATTTTCTAGCAGTAACACTTGGAAAATCAAGCTCTATAAAATTTGAAGGACTTTTTCCTGCTTCCTTAAGTCTCCAATAAAGTGTATCAAATCCAGCACCCAAGTTTATGATTTGACTCTTTTCACCGGACAACTATATCAATGGCATAAATGAATTTTTCTGTGTATATTATGCATCTAAATTACTCAAGTACACATTTATAATATCCATTTTACTATCGTATACTATCTTTATTTTATAGTTTAATCCTTATTATATTATGATAAATTTTATAAGTTTTCAAAAATGTAAAATCTAAATTCAAATACTTTGAGCAAATGTTCATTGATTATAATTT